GACCACCTAATTGAAAATCTCTGTTTATTCTTAATTCCACTTTGCCAAGGTATTCTGGAAAATTTCAGTACCTTTAAAAGTAAAAGTATTTTCTTGAACAATCATTCATCAGTAGCTCAACACAAATAAGATACTTCGACTTCGTTGGCTTCACTGTGCCTTTCAGACGTCTGCGTAGTGTGTTCTCAAGGAGGTGAGACCCATTCAGACCTTTTTTCTACATTGCAACTTATCCTGGAGGATGTGGACTAATTTGATGAGACTGTTCAGGCTGAAATGGGTGATGCATCCTACAATGAAAAGCTTTATTTTCTCTAATATCTATGGGATAGGGTGAGTAAAGAAGCTAAGCCCTCTATGGCAAAGGGCAATATTTGCCAAAATAAGGTGCATTTTGGCTAGTGAATTTTCCATGAGCAAACTACCTTGGAGAAGATATGGTGTAGGACCACTCTCTTGGCAACGTTGTGGCAAAGGTGCATGGATATTACTCTCATTGTCTTACCGTGCTCTATCAGAACTGGGAGGCTATTATATATATAGCTCGTAAGAGCTACAATTGTGTGATTGTATCTATTTTTTTCTTGTTTTTTCTTCATTTTGAGGATAATTATTTATCCTCCAATTTTCTATTCTTCTCTCTCTTGTCCTAAATAAAATTTCTTTTATCTTGAAAGAAGGTGAGACTGCACATCCCAAAATGCTTGCAAACACTTTCCCTCACACCATTGCTTAGGAGACAAGTTCAACTTTCTCATTCTCATCCTTAAACCAGAAACAGCTTGGAAATAAAGCAAATGCATATGATATTATGAAGAGGATCCCTATTTTCCGTGGATTTGTCTGCTCTTACTTGAATACTATATCCAGTATTTCTTGAGGATTCGAATTTTTATGAAACAGGGAGAATCTTGCGGGACAATTTAGTATATATATATTTGAAATGTACTAGTCTAGCATTAGTACTAGAGTTATTACTGATGTAGTTTTACTACGAGAATAATCTATTATATTCTAACAAGAATTTTACAGTTATCATATATCACAATTTTCATATATTATTGTTATCTTATTTAATTTCTTAGTCGGAAGTCTTATTTTGATAATGTTTTATTATTCTAGTCATCTTAGGTTCTGTCGAATACTGTAGTACATGGATGGTTCAACATTATTCTTATACTGTTTATGAGTAAAGTACTCTCATTAACTGAGTTTTGCCTAAAAACCTTGTAATTGTCTTGCTGCCAATGCCCTAGTTGGATTTTCTTTCTTTTCTCTTTCTCCTAATTTTTCTAAATTCTATTCCACTGTTAACATCTCTTTCGTTATGTTTCAGATATTAGCTACTGCTTACATTCGAAATGAGCCATGGGAAATGGGGGTGCATAAGAGGAATGGGGTGGTCTATTTAGATGTGCATAAGTTGCCAGAGAGACCGAAAAGTGAGTTGGATCGTCGAAGGTACTAGACTTTCATGCTTTATTGTCCTTGGAGATGAATGAGCACTTACGTTATCTTTTTTTTTTTTGAGATAAAGAATGAGCACTTAGGCTACCAGCTTTAAGGGGATGATTTTAGGTCTTTCAATATAGATTGTTTTTGAAGGACAACTGTTTCTGTATTGGTATATACTGGAGGCACATTTTTAAATGATAATTGAATATGTTGGAGTGAGTTAGAGACTCTAAGCATTGTTGAGGTTATTTAGGATTTCTTACTCAATGCTTACAAGCAGATTACTTAATTCAGTGCTTACAAGCAGCTTTTAGAACCTTACCTCCAGTAGTCGCATTTGGGAACGTAAAAGATAGTCTTCTTATTAGCTTTAAGAGTGATAATTAAAATGTAAAAAATAAGCATCCTACTTTTGACTTTTTAGGTTCTTACTTTTTATCCAATTAATTTACTTAATTATTTTCTTGTCTTTTTAGGTTCTTGCTTTTTATCTAATTAATTTACTTAATTATTTTCTTGATATTTTCTTAAAATTAGATGAGATATAGCTGGTAAGTAATAAAATGTCTCTAACAAATATATACATTTTTGTTTTTTTTTTTCCATAAAATGGAAGTACTTATTTGTTTTACAATTAACCTTTTGTATAAATGCATTATTGTTTATTTAACTGCTCTAAGGAACTTAAAGCATCCTACTGCTTCAAGCAAACCTTCTTAATGATCGTTTAAAGGAGAAAGCGAAAGTGAGGATTATAGAATAGGTATTTTTTTTAAGCAGATCAGAAATAGATTTCTTTATTGGAATTAATTGATAAAGATAACGAGGATGGTGGAGGAAGCTGTTGATTAGTTGAGTTTGTAGAACTTGTACTAAAGAATATCAAGTGATAAATTAATAACATTTTAGCTGGTTAAGGATGGAAATGTGTCATATTCAGCATTCCCTTGTTGCTTCTTTCATAACTTTCTTCTAAGCAGTGCATTATATAATAAATGTTTATGTTTATTAGATGTTACTGGGGATA